CAATTTAAATAGAAATCCGTTCTTCAATTATAAACTCATAACTGCGCGTGTTGACTAATTATGCGTGTTTTCAGGAATATGTTTTTCACCACAAACATCGAGATCTTTTTGCCCTTAGCTTTTCTGCAATGTCTTGATCCATAATTTTCAGGAACATTCTCTAATGCGTGTTTATAGAGTTGAATCACGTGCTAAATCATACTGTAGTTATTCGAATGACTCGCGCAACGTACAGTACAACGGTAATAGTTGATAGTAATAGTGTTGTTTTGTACTGTTTTTAAACTAATACAAACTAGTTAACTCGCTTGAACAGTTGACTAACTTTGCTGGCTGTTAATCAAGGAGTGGCAAATTAACTGACATTACGAATTGAAAGATGTTGGATCATACTTTTTTTTTTTTAAAAAAAATTAGATCAAGATGAAGAGGATCGACACCGTACATTAACATGGAGTATAAATTCTAAATTATCTCATCTCATCCATCTCAATTGCTCGACATGACCTTCAAGGCAAAGGTTCTCGTGCTTCCGGGAGATAACGCTGGCCCCGAAGTGGTGGCTGAAGCTATTAAAGTATTGAACTTAATAAACAAAACACGGAATAATGTTGAACTTGAAATCACGAATGCTTTGATTGGTGGTGCCGCTATTGATGCTGAAGGTAAAATGTATACCATAAATTAGAATGGCAATAGCAAGAAGATCAGTAAACTTTTGCGAGAGAGCTTATCCGGCCAATTTTTACAATATAAGCGTAGCAAATATAAAATTAAATTGCTTTGCACACTCTAACAGGCACTCCTCTTCCCGAGAAAACGTTAAGACTTGCAAAGGAATCGGATGCTATTCTTCTGGGTGCAGTAGGTGGACCACAGTGGCCGCGTCCAATTGATCCATCTGATGCGTCCAAGGGGCTTGGACCACGTCCAGAACAAGGCTTGTTAGATATACGCAAAGCATTAGATCTATATGCCAATATCCGTCCATGTTCATTTGCCAGCGATTCTTTGATAAAATACTCGCCTTTAAAGGAGAATGTTGTCAAAGGGACTGATTTCACCATTATAAGGGAACTAGTTGGTGGGATTTACTTTGGAGAGAGGATGGAAGAAGACGGAAGTGGAAAAGGTAAGAGTAAAGTAATAGGAACATGCGATAATGTAATGCGACGATGCTTGCACTTAATTCACGTAGTCAAACACTAACTTACTAATTCTAATTCAAATAGCATATGATACTCTTCCTTATACTGTTTCCGAAATACGCCGAGTAACACGTTTAGCTGCTCATCTATCTCTGCAAAAGTCACCACCTGCTCCAATTCACTCTATCGATAAAGCAAACGTTCTCGCTACGTCTCGGCTATGGCGCAGGATAGTTACTGAAACGTTGTCCACAGAATTTCCTTCCATTCCATTTGACCATCACTACGTAGATGCAGCAGCAATGTTCTTGGTCAAGAATCCAACTAAATTAAATGGAATTATCTTAACCGGAAATCTTTTTGGTGATATTCTAAGTGATGAAGCGAGCGTAATTCCTGGCAGTTTAGGTTTACTTCCGTCTGCCAGCCTAAGCGGACTACCCGATGGAAAAAGTAAATGCCTAGGACTGTACGAACCAATACATGGATCTGCCCCTGACATCGCTGGTCAAAACATTGTCAACCCCATCGCTACCATTCTTTCATTAGCGATGATGTTTAGGTATTCTTTTAGTCTAGAGAGAGAAGCGAAGGCTATAGAAGATGCCGTAGAAAAAGTGCTCCAAGACCAAGAGTTTGCCGGATTTGAATTTCGCACTAAGGACCTTGGAGGCAATAAGACTACATCCGAAATGGGTGATAAAGTAGTCGAAGTACTCGAAGGATTTCTCGAAGGCCTTAATTCGGAGGACAGAATATCGGCTACCGTTCCGTCACGTGGATTACTGCTATCGAGGCCATCTGGCAGAAGAGGAATGACTCTGTGCGAAAAAATTATCACACATGCAGCAATTGGCCTTTCTCCTCCGGGACATGTCAAACCAGGCGACATGATTTGCGTATCAGTCGATTGGACTCTTGCTTCAGAACTCACCTGGAAAGGAATGGAGAAAACATTTGACGTCATGGGTCGACCAAAAATTCAACGGAACGATCGCTTCTGGCTCGCCATTGACCACACTGTGGATCCACGGATAAATCATCTCCCTAAACCAACCGAGTTAATCAAGGCATCCGAAAACTTTGCAAAGGAAGCAAAACTAGTCGACTTTTACCGCCCTAATCATACGATCCTCCACACGGAATTTTACCGTGAACGCGCACAACCTGGTCAAATGATCATTGGAGCAGATTCACATTCATGTTCTGCTGGAGGAGTAGGAGCATTTGCTGTTGGATTGGGGGCAGCAGACGTAGTTATGCCCTTGGTTACGGGGGAGACATGGTTCAAAGTTCCAGAGACAGTAGAGATACGGTTTGAAGGACAACCGCCCTTTGGAATTGGAGGAAAGGATACTATTTTATATGTACTTGGCGTCCTGAAGAGGAATACTGTTGCATTTGAAAGGGCAGTGGAATATACTGGGCCTGGGTTGAAGTATTTATCATGTGATGCGAGATTTGCTATTTCGAATATGTCCACTGAGTTTGGTGGTATTGCTGGTGTGTGCCAACCCGACGAGATAACAGCTGCGTATATAGCTAAGCGTAAAAATCCTGCACACAAGAATGATGCCTTATACTTCAGAGCTGATCCGGATGCAGTATATGCAGAAACTCATATAATAGATCTATCAAAAGTCGAATCACTCGTCGCACTTTATCCTTCGCCGGACAACGTTGTATCGGTGAAAGAAGCTGCAGGAATGAAACTTGACGGGTGCTTTATCGGCGCATGTACTACTGCTGAAGAGGATTTGATTCTTGCCGCATTGGTGTTGGAACAAGGCCTGAAGAAAGGATTGAGACCGTCAATCAATGCGAAGAGAAAATGCACGCCGGGAAGTCTGCCAATTATTGCAAAATTAAAAAGATTGGGATTACTAAAGTTTTACGAACAGGCGGGCTTTGAGATTGGAGCACCTGGGTGCTCTTATTGTATCGCTGTTGCTGCAGATAAAGCCGGTGAAGGAGAAGTCTGGCTGAGCAGCCAGAATAGAAACTTTAGGAATAGGATGGTGAGTTGTATATATTAATCAAATAATAGTTTGTGTGTCAAAAGATTAACAGTTTTATTTAATCTCTCAGGGAAAAGGAGCAATTGGTAATTTGGCGTCTGCAGCGACGGTAGCTGCATCCTCATTTGAGATGGCGGTCCGAGACCCACGCGACCTTTTAGATGCCATCGACAAGGAAAAATATAAAGAATATCTTGAAAACTGGCTTGATGAAACAGTCTCAATTACAGTTTCTGAGCCAAATCCCATACTTCATGACCCCAATAGTACTAACGAGTCTGACACAAGTGTTATTTCACCAGCACCATCCTTTTCCACCACCATCACTGGCAAAGTGCAGAGATTTGAAGATAACATAGATACAGATGCCATAATCCCTGCCCAGTTTATGCCTGGGAAGGATGACCAGGATTTGGGTACTCATGCGTTCCAATATGTCAGGCCTGAGTTTACGCAGAAGGTGAAGGCAGGAAACACTATTGTCGTTGGTGGGAGTGGTTTTGGAAGTGGATCTTCACGAGAAGAAGCACCTAGAGCACTGAAGGGAGCTGGTGTCAAGGCGGTTATTGCAAAGAGTTATGCATATATTTACAGTAGAAATCAGGTATGACTATGGTTAAACAATGTTTATCTGCTCTTTTAGTATTCATTTTCATTTTTCGTTTTCCATTATTTTATTATTCTTCACATAGCCAAACATGGCGCTTCTCGGTATAACTGTCACGGATGAAGAATTTTATAATCTCGCACAGGAAGACACAGAAGTAACAATTGATGTCAAAGATCGTAAAGTAAGATGTCTTGGGAAAGAATTTCCATTCGGACTATCGCAAATGGAAGAGAATCTTATTGCGGCTGGAGGTGTTACCGAAATGTACCAAAAGTATGGTGCCAAGTTGTTTAGAGCTGCTGTATCCAATGGTACTGGTTGTTCCACTGAAGCTGAAAGTGGACACGAGTGTGGTACTGCGGAATTGGCGTGGTAGTTTATATATGTAAAATAACATCGTAAAGTTTCTCCTTTCTTTTTGGATTCCTTGTTCATGGAGCAATCGTTCAATGTACTGTATTATTTGTTAAATCGTCGAACCACAACTTTGATTATATAACTCTATTTCAAGATGGGTTGCTGTGAGCGCTGAAACGTCTCTTGATTTAGCCAAGCGTGCTTGCTAACTATATATAAGTAAATAAGAATACATCTTTTCTATATGATTATATTGACATCTAAGTATTGAATCGTAAATACAATTCACTCCATACGGACTGTGGATTGTACAGAGCTATCTTAGGTTTTACTCCCGTTTTACATTGAAAAGTTCTTTTCATAATGCCATCAAAATCCACAACATTAAACGTTTTCGCTAATTGAATGAGATCTGCTTCTGTAAAACCAAACCCATATTGAAACACTCGATCGCTTGATGGCAGTGGGTATTCCCAAGCATTGGCAGGAAGAATCTTATCTATCTTCTTGTTGCTAGTGTCTACAATGGCCACCATTGCTTTTTCCAAATATGGGTTTTCCTAATAGGAAAAAAGAAACAGTTACATTAATTATCACAGCTGCAAACCACCCTCTCTGCGTTCTATTCTGCGTGACTTACCTTTAAAAACTCGCTGAACATGTTTTTTATAAACCTATTTGCTTCAATAAAATACCCTTTGTCTATGGATATTTGCACTGGAACATCAAGATGATCAACAAGCGCAATTATCGGTTTACCATGAAATTTGCAGAGATAACAAGAGAGCGCTTTTAATGCATCTTCCCATTCTTTCCGAGACAAATTTCTGTTACACTCTATTATTTGTTGAAAGACTATTTGGCGAGTTGAATTCAAACTAGAAGAAACATACGAATGTCTGCGATAGACACTCGAAATAAGATCTTGTAGACACTTATACATCGAATCCCAAGTATCGTGATCTACAAGGGTATTCTAAATCGTCGACAGGTCAGTTAAAATACATTGTAATAAAGACCGATCGCACTTATCGTTTACTAACCATAAAGTCGATGTAGATCACAGGAAACTTAGCAAAAAAATTTTCGAATGTTTCGTGACGATTCTCAATTGAAAGTCCCTTGAACAAGCTCCTTCTGGTCCGAAATTCTTTGTCAGAATCGGACACAGATAAGAAATATGCAATCATTGACAGATTTGTTGTCTAAACAAAGCGAGGGTTATGAAAGCAGAGGTCATTCATTATATTCACGTTCAATGAATGATAGTTTAATGGCTCCCCAGGTAGATATTAGCTTGCCTTTCCAAATCCATGCGGACGCTTAATCTGAAGAAAAAAATGGATTAAAGAGTGGTAAGCAATTGCTCAAGAGCATTAGCAATCTCGAGAACACATACACACATACCACTGCTAATCGACCATTGAAATTACAGAATTCATCTATTAATAGTGACTTATCAACGAAAGACCAGCCACCTTCAATCAGCTTCTTAAAATCACGCGGTCTATCTGCACGTAATGAAGACGCGTAAATCGCTTTAGTAAACAACAGATGCCAAAACGATCAAGACTGTTAAACAAGCTATGCTAGCGCTATATTGTATAAAAGTAGGTAAGTGAATAAGTTCCCAAGGTTGTCTTGTAAAGACAGCCGACTTAGTGTTGTAAGAGTTACCTGTTTCCAATAATCTACATGGTTTCGGTTTCCTGACCAACAATGTTCTTGCAGCTACTATAATTAATATCAATAAAAATATAGCAGTCAACGTAAGATGATGAGACTGGCTTATTATCTCTTCTATATATTGCATCCTGAACAGCCAGACAACTAGGACTTTGAATGAAGAAAAGACTTTGCCGACGCGAGTAGTTTTTAGATAAATAGTCCTGACAAATATCATGTGACATCAATACAAAATTGTCGATCATATTCTGCGATTGCATACTGTATAAGATAGTTATTACAATGTTAATATGATTCATTTAGGATTGACAGTAGATTACGAGTCAAGATCGCTCGCCGTAACAATTTATACTGCTATTATTATCTACCTAGAGAACAAAAACAATTGTCCTTTTATGTATCTTTGTCAAAACGTGTTCTCAAAAGCTTTATCGTTATTACTATGAACCAGGTAAGGTTTATTGTACTGTAGGTTCGATTTTCATCGGGATCTGATAATTTATGCTTTCAATAAGCAGCCCGCCCCTCTCGAGGAGGTCAAACGTTCGAATCCTGCCAAAGAAACAAGTTCCATGTTTACAACAAACTCCAGCTGAAAGCCATTTATTAAATAATAAATCTACATTGATATATAAAAATTACAGAAAATAATTACAAGATTCTTATTACAATAAAGTTCATATTAAAAAATGACCTGAAAAGGTCGACAAAAACTTTGTTTCTTAAACTGTATACAATTATACTGTTAATCTAATGTAAATTCACTTTATCACACATTTTATAAAGCCACCGGCAATATGTGTTTGTCGCGGTTGTCGTTCCGACTATCCTCTCCTTCTAAATTTGAATTATCGTAAAAGTCCGCATCAAGACTGTCAATTACCGGACTTGCAAGGCCAGCTGATAAGTTTGTCCCGTTTGCTGTTGTAATTTCTTTTAGAGCCCCACCACCAAGTCCTTGCTGATCTACCAACTGTCGGAAGAGACTAGGCGTGCGGTACAATCGCGTCGTAGACAGATCAGTTAATGATGTCGCTGCCAACGGGTCGGTCAGTCCTTCATATGCAAACTGATTGTTTACAACATTATACAATGTCATATCTTGCGCAAAATAATCATCCTGGTTATTATACACGGTGTTGTCGTCCACCGGATCTCTTCTGCTAAGTCGCACGAGTGATCGAGGACTTATTATTCCAGGACTTCGTATAAAGTTCACCCAAGGGTCTGGAAGCTCAGTTGTCATAAATCGCGGAGATAGAAATTCAGGTGTCACAAATGAAGATAACCCGACTAGACTCGAATCAGACATAACGTCCTGAAATGAAGTATCCGGTTTCGAGCTCGGTTTCGAAGATGCGTGGGCGCGATTCCAGTATTCCATTAAACCCGAGTCGGTACTCTCGGGACACATGATATCCTCTGTGCGACATTTACGCATTTGTTTAAGCATATGTATGAGTTTCCCAGCTATGTTCCAATAAGGTCGCACCATTTCAAGATATCGTTCAGTTATGTTCAAATTTTTATGAGCAATTTCCACTACGTTCTTGTCATTACTAAATGTGTCATTAATATGCATAGTAGCAGTGGCGAAGATTGGGTATAATGTGAATGGGCAGAGGTTCGTACATTTCGCTTCGAGAAGTGCTTCTGCAATTTTAGCCGTCCGCCTTGCAGAGGTTATGCACTTATCCGCTGAAATATGAAAGAAAGCCAACTGAGACTCTGGGGCTGTCCCTGTTTGAAGAGTTGCTACATTCGGCCTATTTAATACCACGATAGAAACGTGATATAACGTCAGTATGGCAGCATATGCGCCAATTTTACCATTCCCAACGTGATATTTGAGCATTTCCGGTGACCATTTCAATTCCTGACTGAGACTTTCGTACCAGGACTCTAGTTGATTTTCTAATTGAGCAAATTCTGACTTTGAATCCCACACGGGCAACGCATCGGCTGATCGCATTCTGTTAATGTATTGTGCTACTCTGCCAAGTAATATGGAGACGCTGGTTAATGAAGAAAATACACCACTGGTGGAAAGAATAAATCGTCTTCCACGTTTTACTGGTGATTCTGCCGGACGATCATCCATCATGTCACTAATAGCTGGATGCTCCTTGCGCCACTCTCTGTCATCACATGGTTGTCTTATCTCGACGTCGCCTTCGTCGATTATTGTTGGACGACCGAGTGCACATGCAGAAAATCTATAAATGGTTAAAAGAGAGTAATTAGAAAAAGCTACATTTTTTGTTAAAGATAACTGAGAACTGGTACAAGTTGTGAACGCAACGCGTTACCTATCAATGACGAAACAAACCCAGAAGACCCTTCGACGGATTTCGCGGTATATAAACGCTTGATGAGAATTTCCTTTCTTGGCATACATGCAAGATACGTCAGCGAACTCTTTATGCATTCCTAATGCCTGGGCCATTCTGTGTAATCATCGCGTATGATTAATTAGTTTATAGAGAAAGTGCGAGTTTAATCATTCTCCCAATACCAACCTCACGGCCATTGCGATGTACATCCATGAGCGCGGTCCTTTCGCTGATCCGAAACTATGCAGACAGAGTAAAAGGATAGCTTTATAATGTAAAAAAAAATAATAATTTTAATACCGCGATTAATTCGCACACTATAATATAACTCGCAAATATACCTTGAACATTTTCGACGTTGGGGTCATCAAACGACTCGGCCATGTATGAAATCGCCCTTTCAGCAAAAACATCACCGGCAGAATGAGGTGGATCTTTCGCAATACCTGGTAAATCAGAATAACTGCAAAAAAAAAACATGTTAGAATTAGTTGGTCATACTTCAATTATAATGGTTGAATCGGTAAATGTGTTTTGACTATTGCTCTATTCTACCAATTTATTCGTTTACCATTCGCGCAAATAACTCACCGAGCAGCTACTGCACACAAAGCCCAAACCAAAAAGGGCGAAGCCTTCCTTGTCCTTAGTCTGAACCTCAACGTGGGCTCATGAAACATTGGTGTGTGGTTGATCATATGATTAAAAAAACACAAGGATAAATGATCTATAATATCACTTGGCGGATAACTGTCTCCACGAGGAAATGCAAAAGGGTATGGTAGTGCTTGAAACATGGACGCGTTAAATATTCCTGATTGAGCCACGTTGGGAAGCGATGTTTCATTCGCAGATAAATTCCCCTCTTCGGGGGGAGTACATTCGCCCAAGCGTCTAAAACCGGGGTGAGCAGATGTTTTGCCAAAAAATAACAAGTCACCCTTATGACCTTCTTGACACGTGCTGTTGTTGTCGTCTGATTCATCTATTATTTTTGAATTATCGACGGAGACGTCGTCACTTGGAGATAATTGTCCATTATGAATGTTCAGTTGCGGCTGTTCCCAGACATTTGTTTGTTCGATCGGATTCTGGTATGTGTTATAATTTTCCAAGTTTGATAGGTTTTTTGAGCTCGGTGGAGAGGTGTATACTCTGTCTGATGATGATAAAGAAGAAGTCGTACCGTTATCAGGGTTGGCACTAAATATGTCAAAAGTAGCTCCATTGCTCAACCGAGGTTTCTTTGGCGCTGATCCTAATGATTTATCATCAATCATGCCTTGTTCCCTTAGCGGCTGTAGCAGTTTTTCCATTTGTTGGAGACGTTTTTCTAGACTCTCAACTAGGCCTACGCGTGGACCTCTCTTCTTTGTGCTTGGTAAATAGGTACATGGTATGTTTATTCTTTTACAGTTGGCACACGTAGGCTTTTCGCCACTACATTTTACTTTTTTCTTTCGACAAGCGTCGCACGCCTGAGTAAGTCGTTTTCTCTTGATTGATTGTGACTGTGACTGTGACTGTGACTGTGGCTGAGGTTGAGGTTGAGGTTGAGGTTGCGGTTGTGCTGTCAGTAAAGAATTTGTTGAAGTGGAATATTCCATGAGAGTCTAGAGAAATGATTATAAAGTGTAGGGTTTGGGAACGAACGGGGCGGCAAATTTATTGTCTATTTATTTTTATGTATTACCTGGAAATTTTGGAGAGAATTACGTGCTGGCAAAAACTTTTTCCATATAGGAATATAAGGACGACCCGTCACGTACAAAGTTACCAAATGGAGAAACTGTGTGATATCTAACTTTATGATGATCTTCAAGATTTATATCATTTCTAATCATATGACATTCAGTAACGCATTCGGTTCCTTATTTGGCCGACATTCCGAATTAATAAGCTGATTATCGCAATTGCGGATATTGCGGAACATGTGGCTAAATTGTGATGCCGAAATACCGATAATAACAAACCGCTTACAAATGCAAAAAATGCTACGCCTCGCTGCGCCATCTGTCATAATTAGCTGACCAATATTAACCAAATTAAGTTACGTTTCGCAGAGGTAAGAATTAAAAATGGACGACATGAAAGAAGACAGGGTGGTATAATAAATTGATCATAAATAACATTGCACAAGAACAAGCTGCAATTTAATATTGTTTTTGGTACGTGTCTGATGGAGGTCGCATTTTATATCAGGCATTTCACGTGAGTTGTTGCAGAAATAATATCAATGAGTAGTTCTAATTCCACATGGGGCTGGTGAAGATGGCTGTCGTTTCAAAAACACAAAGGTCTCTGAATTGAAAAGCAAAAGCATTCTTTAACCCAATAGAAACACTCTACAGTTACTTAACCCTATAGAACTTTATATACATCCTTCAATTATATTGGTCTGTCTAATGTAGAAGTTGTCTTAACTTTTCGGGAAGTAGGTTTTCATAACTGATCAGCAGACATTTTCACGCCATTTGTCAATTTTCTATTATACGTTAGTCAACTAATATTACCAAGTATTTGAGGATAAACGTTTAAAAGAACGAAACAATGCGCACTGCTCTCATCAAATCGGGGACGACGCGATAAAATTCACCGTATAAACAATCATAAAACGTGTGTCACCGATTTTGAAAATAGCTTATTAAAATGTCTTGTTAATCATAATATCGCTGGTTTTATTAATTGAAACGCCAAAACAAATAATAGCAGCAGCCTAATTAGTACTTACCAAGTACGGAAACGTGGTATGGGAGTATACGATAATAATCAAGTCTTGATTATGTTATTAAAGATACGAGCATAAAAGAGAAAAAGTTGGTATAACACACACTCACCCGAAATAAGTAACGGGCTTCCTTTACGTAATAATGTCACGGTCTAGATTTCTGTAAACATATTATAATGTAAAGTATGCATCATTTTGACCGAATTACAAATACATATCTAATCTGTTGCAAAGAAGATCAAAACTTTGCCGCCAGGTCAATAAGCAAAAGTTCGGCTTAAGAAAATTTTCTTAAATTAATTAAATTAAATTTATTTAGTTAAAATGCATGACAAGTACAGTATCGTCAACCAACCAAATGTTTGATTTGTAAGAAAGTTTAAAAAAATTTTTTTGGATAATTATTGTATGGTTTTACTGTAAAAGGATAGCCGTATAATTGGTCTAGAATATAGAATAACGACGACAACAACACAGCAAACAGCAACGGCAGACAGCAAACAGCAGACAGCGGACAGCAGACAGCGGACAGCAGACAGCAGACAGCAGACAGCAGCAGACAGCAAATAACGACATTATTTAGGAGATTGTTATCAAAAACGTGGGGTAAAAATTCTTTATTAATAACTGTAGAACATATAGAAAATCCATTCAATGCAGCGATAGTTTATTTCTAATGAAATCTCGAGTTCGCGCATATACACGTACTGTTACTGAAGCATTAGCAATAAAAGGATATCAATGTGCAAAGTTTAAACCATATAATTATACCGCGTTGAACTAATCAATACAAGATTCGATCTTCGCTTTCTCATTTATAAAACTTCTCTTGACAATTTTCTCAATAGGAACGTTTCCTGCTCCAAAAACGTAACAAGACTGAGCGTTGTCTCCTTTAAGACTCGCTGTACGCCGTTAATGAGATGAAATGCTATAAAGCATCACATATTAAAAAAACGTGGACTATATATTTTATTTCTTCAGATATTCGTCTGGTAACAACTTAGCGTTTATAATGGAACGAATGGAACAAATTCTTGAACCTAAACGACACACCGATCGATCTGGAAGAGCCCGCTTTCTGATCGGTGAATATTTCTCATCTTAGCTTAAACTATCATGGCCTTCCTTGCTCATGTGTCCCATTTCAATTCTATCGCAGAAAACGATTATACTCAAACATCAAATATGCTACTGAACAACTAGAACATTTATCGTCTAGCGATAGTTCTGAGTCAGAGTACTTAATAAGAAAACCTGCTCTTTCAACAATAGCCCTGCTGCTAACAACTCGTAAAACAAAAGAGTGAATTAACAACTGATGCGGTATGTAATTAATAAGAGAACTCTTTGATATGTTAAGCGCTTTTTGCTACGCTCATGATTATTCCACGTCCTTTCATTATCGCCGCTTCCGAAAAAGTACATTGTTTTATCGACATGTAAAAATTTCACGCTCGTATATATATTATTGAACCGTATTTCAATGGAGAGTCTTGATTACAGGCAGTTCTCCCAACAACGTAGACTGTTTACAATGTCTGCGTGCGGGCTTCGTATGCAAAAGGCACATACTCAAAATAAAGCCGTAAATCGTTGCGTTTTATAATTCCGACCTCGTCTGGTGAGTATCCTCGCTCAGATAATCAAAGATATGTAACTTTCATATTAAATGGTCTGTTTTATTGTTTATGAACTCATTATTTGAATACAGCACAAAGACAAGATTAACTTGTGCGATATACACAATACTTTCTGTATTATCGTCTTTACCACTGTCCTCAATCCATCTCCTCCATTCCCTAAATCTTATTTCTCATCTATCCTATTATGTCTCTATATCGCTCTCAGTGTCTCTCTCGATAACCCTTTTTTCTTTAATATTATTATTGCTTCGCTCTTCCCATTCATCATCACTTATACTTTCGTCTCTGTCTCGATCTCTATCTCTGTCTCGATCCCTGTCTCTGTCCCTATCTCCGTCCCTGTCTCTGTCTCGATCTCTGTCTCTGTCCCTGTCCCTGTCCCTGTCCCGGTCTCGGTCTACGTCTCGGTCTAGGTCTCTGTCTCTGTCTCTGTCTCTGTCTCTGTCTTTACCTCGATCTACGTCTCGGTCTCGGTCTCGGTCTCGGTCTCTGTCCCTATCCCTGTCCCTATCCCTGTCCCTATCCCTATCTCTGTCCCTATCTCTGTCCCGGTCTCTGTCCCGGTCTCGGTCTCTGTCTCTGTCTCTGTCTCTGTCTCTGTCTCGGTCCCTGTCCCTGTCCCTGTCTCTATCTCTGTCTCCGTCCCTGTCCCTGTCTCTACCTCCCCTATATCTGTCCCCATCTCTTTCAAAGTCCCTATCATCTCTTTCTCTGTATCTTTTCCTCTCTCTTTCTCTTTCCTCATCCCTGTCTCTGTCCCTTTTTCTATCCCTATCATGGTTCCTGTCTCGCTCTCGATCCCTGTCTCTCACGTCGCGAGCATCTATTAAAAATTTACGTCGCTCTTCGCGTTCTTTTTCTCGAAGTGCAACTCGCTCCTTCCGCTTTCGTTCTTGATATTCTTTATCAAATGCAGAACCTTCGACATAATTATCGGTATCGATATCAAAAGCGCGGGCAAATTTAGCATTTTCGCGCGCCTTGGCCTCCGAGATTTGATGTGTCTGATGTTCTTGTAAACTAGAGCATAGCGAAATTGTAATTAGTGACAGTTTCAATGTAAGAGGTTCCAATGCTGCAAATAACCACCACATAAATATTGTATCAAGTTACTTACTTTTTCTCTAAAGGCATTTCATTGATCTTTTCGAGTAATGTTTGACGCAACTGCGCAAGTTTCTCTTGCGCTTCTTCTTCCGGAACACTTAATCAATAGAACAATAAAATCAGCAACCTTGCGTGAATCAGTCTCACATTTGGAAACTTGCTTACAACCCAGCTCTTGGTATACTTACTTCTTCTCTGCTAATTCTTGTTTATACTTTAAAAGCTGAATCTCAGTTTTCCTTTGCTGTTCGTGCAGTAGAATCTCCTTATTCGGGGTCCGATTGGCAAATGATTGCACAGGCGGTTTGCTGTCCTCGGAGTTTTGCTGCCTCGGACGTATGTAAGAAAGATTCCGCACAACATAACCGTTGGTACCCGAGCCACGGGGAGTAGTAAGACCAACGTTGCCGTACATTGTGAAAAGTATGATGGCTGTTGGAACAGCGGCTGAATTTTCATATATTGCGCTAACAGTCAGGTTATCAAATCATCTGACACAGTTTGTGCATTGTTCCTGATTTGTACAACCAAACTTAAACGTCAGCTGGGATGTACCTTAAGATTGGGCATCATCTTGTGAGCCCCGAACACACTCAATGATTAAAAAGTTCGAAAAATGGGCTTTGGGCAGAGAATGAATGTTTCGAGATGAACCAATTGAAGACGGGCATTGGAATTGTTTGAATGATTCGTCGATCGAGTACCAAAGTTGGATTTTCAGAAACGTTACTCGACCCCAATAATCAGAGCACAGCCCAAGCCCAACCCCCCATCTCTACTAATTTGTCAATGAGATTTAACGTCTTTGGAGAGGAGCCAGAACCCTTGTACCGACATTTACTTTATAGTTTGTCGGTCTAGAACGCTATTACGGTTTATGTGGTGGCCTTTTAAGTCAAAGCCGGTATCAAGGTTTGGCGTTCCCTTGCATCGGTCACAACGGTAACCCAAAAAATTGTATCACATTTAAGATCGCACCCAAAATGTTCTGAATTCTTTTATGACCCATCGAATACACCATTGAATTTCTTTTTCTGCCATCTGTCATACCAGTACATTGATGAAAGTCGTCCCCGTCTTCGTCAAATCCTCCAATAAATACTTAGTTTAGGGATCCGGGCCCAAACATTCTGTGGTGTAAAGTTACGCCGTTGCCTGAATGCCCAATACCACACACAATCCTCTCGTGTAGCATAACTTTAAGATTTATTGAGGGAATAGGACTCGGAGGGGGGAAATCTACGTGAAAACAATTTCTTGTTTTGCTGCATCTACCTTTCTCGAACAAATCACTGCCTACGTTATCTTCCGCATACCACGGTCTATTTTCTTTGCATACAGAAAATTATTTAACTCGTATTGAACTTACAAGAGCATTCTCTTACAAAATGGGAAATTATACGTTACCTTTTTACTCGTTTATTCGATTTTCCTTTCAGTTTTTTGTTTTCGGGGCTTTGGCTTTGGTAAGAGAATGGTTGTTGCTGAGTTATTGAACGAGTAGACAGATTGAATGAGCAGATTGCTTGATACCGACTATAATACAAACCTAAATCGAATTTACCCGCGACTCTATATACAGATGTTTGCCCACAACTTTTTCATGTCCGCTTTTTACTTCAAAACGCGCCAACGCAGCGTCTCCAACTTTCTTAAAATAATCTTCAATTTTTCGGGATGTCTAAGACATTGCCTGATTTTTGCGTCAGCCATGTTTGGACCGGATGTGACTACGTCGCTTTGCGAAGGGATATTTATTCCGTCCAATGTTTCCCAATTCATCTTCCTGTCATCTTTGGCTCTCTTCATAATATGGAGATTACGGCAAATTGAAAACAAAACTTATGACTCAGTTATTTGCGGAGTTCTGTTCTTTGGAAGGTTTTCCGTGCACGTAAGTATCACTTTTCTATCGCAGTAGAATTGACGCATATTTGTGTTGACAGTTTTCTTTCTCGGATTTTAGCTTGTTCAAGTTGTGCTGACGGTACCAACTGCGGAACCATCCCCCGACATACCCGGAACATATCTTTGCGAGATGCATATTGTGCAGACGACAACAAGGGCATTGTTTTACACGTATAATGGTCTGGATGTCGTAATCGACATTTACGTTACAGCGCGGCTTGTTTATATTCTAAACAAGGCCAATATTAATGCAAAGTACGTGGCGGCCAGCCTGCACTCTTCACCACCCAAACGTACTTTATTCACAGCCATCATATACTGGAATTTTGTGCGCTTGTTTGCTGCGTTCTTACATTACGGCGTAATTCTTTCTGGAGTCATTACATACCAAGATAATCCCTTCAAATACTGGACGTTTCAGCTCTTTGCCCTGATAGTCTTGAGTTATTCTATTACAGCCGATGCAGAAATCGTACGAGTTGTCGGAGGAAGACCTGTAAGCTCGAATAAAGGAGGAAGCAATGCAGGCAGTACAGGCAAGAAAACAAATTCATACCAAGCCAGCCTGCCGTCTCCACGGGCACCGCCGACTTATAAAAGCCATGTGGTTGCATCGAACGGTAATGGGGATGGCTCGCAATTATCATATGTGCAACATGGATCAACTAAAGAGCTGCCCGTTTACGAAGAAGTGAATGGCCAAACAATGGCATTATCGATCAAGCGTGCGTCCTTTTTGGACATGGCTACAACGAGTCTGGGCTTCCGTGGTAACGATTCGGATGGACAGTATAACACTGGAAAGGACCGTGATCTCGAAAAGGCTGAAGTCAACGACACTGTTGAAATAGTTCAGGATGAAGAGCCTGTATCAGTTGAGGAATTCGATGTCGACGCAGCCACTAATCGCAGCAGCACGTTCAGCGGTGACACAGCCATTAACGTAGCACAAAGTTCTGTTGATAGTAAATCTGTTATTCTTGAGCTTTAATATCTTCGGTTATCATTAAATTCATGTAAATTGTGTCGTTTAATCGCTGACTGCATTCAAACGTCTATCATTTGTATTTTAAATTTGCAATAAACAAAGCGTGACTGTAAAGATTGTCATTTATTAATTGATTGGGAAAAAACAAAACTATTTTTATGTGGCATGGCAGATATAGATATTAATATGGGAAAGTAAAAATAGAAGAGCACATAGTAATAGAGCAGTTTATTTATTGTGTTGCATGATCGACTGGTATTACTCCAGCAAGATTTCGGCCAGAGCACATTATAGACTTAATATGTCAAAAACCATTCCTGAAAATTTGCTCAGGATCTAGTGAAGTCGTCGTTCAGGAAAACGTGCCACTTGACGACTTTCTAACTTGCCGCAAAAGGGATGTGAGGCTTCCGGTTCGCGTATATCTATGTAATGGATCCACGCAGGGGTATCAGAATTGATTAAGATATTGATGGTGTGCTGTATTTCGACGATGCGACCATGATTCTGGGCTTAAAACTGCAAAGGAGCCTGATTCAATGGTCCGACCGGTACGGCGTCCTTGGCCTCCACCCGCACAAGCAATGGATAGACGTGGAACGGCATACCCAACCATGGTAATCGAAGTCGGACCCTCCCTGACCTGCATCGAAAGGTAGCACTCTACTTTAATCCTCGAACCACAATTCAGATTGTGCTGGCTGTTAAGTTAAATAAGCCTCGTGGGGATAATACTATTGCGATAATTGTCGCCCTGTACCTTCGTACGAGTCCGACACCACTGATTCCAGTCGACGTCAGGTCTTTTGGGACGGCACCACCTTCACATTCTCATAAGAACTACGTCTACAATATTATGGGTGTTCCTCCTCATCTCTTCACTGGTGTTGAACTTTCTGATGCTAATAATAATCCTTTTCCCCCTTTTTATTGTGCAAGGGCTCGTATTCCAGCCTACCAAATGAACATTCCAGTAACAGAACTCTTTGATGTTGCCGCATCAGCAATTGGTGGATTTAACTTAGATAGCACGGCAAGGATTCAACTTACCATAGATGTGGAAGAAAACGTAAGCTTTCATTTGGATAAAGTTAGGTTTCTTTATATTACATGTTAAGCTAGCTATTGAAGTATGTTGTTGCATTTCTATCGATTGTCCCATACTTGAATGATCGAATTCCAAATTGATTTATTAGCAACGTCTAATCGAAACACATAGCTTACAAGTTTACCGAAAAATAATGAAGTTGTTGTAAGAATTATTGCAGCCAAATATACATTTCCCAAACGCTATATTAATACGCTGATTTGATTTTTGCTATCTGCCAATAATTGTCAAGATTTTCGTATCCTGTCGTGTGTGTCAAAATGTCTTTTATTGTCGGTTTCAAAATGCTGTAATCTGTTCTGTGCGGCAAGAATTAGCCTTCTAACCGTTTAGAGAGGGGGTTGACTATACGTTAATATGTATTGTTTTATGTTTTACTGAAGATGATGTACGGATGATCTTTTTGACTATTACTTTTATTGATCGTTACTGGCTGACCCGTAATAGCGCGCTAGCTATATTAGTGCAAGAAATAAATAAACTTTTACGAATCCTCTTTCACACAACCAGCATCCCTTAGACATCCGCAAAACCGTTTACTTATTGTAAAAAAAAGTACAAAAATACATAATTATATTCCTATTAATATATAATCAAATTCTCTTCACTAAATTAGTTGAGCCCTCTAAACTTTATGGGCAGATTTGCTACATATCCAGGCATTCTCATAAGAGTAGGAATGGCGCCTAGAGGCTTTACGATTGTGTAATCAACTTCATTAAAGCTATAAAAAGTGTTCAACAAATGCCCTTTGCCGCCGTTTAATTTTCGGTTGATAAAAAGGCTACCATGGTAGTTCCCGCTGCCAATGTTGCTAATCACACCAAACCTTGCAATTGGATCTTTTTCGTTTGCATAATGCTCAATGCAACGAACAAGATTGCCAGGATTGATGAATTCCCTGGCTGCATTGGAAAACGTGTACACTTCAAGTTTTTTGAGACAGTCTTGTTGACCCGAACGGCTCAATTCAACGTATAAATTTGTCAGAACCATACCAGCTATTATACCGCCTTGTGAATGTGCGAGCATACGGACGGTCTTGATGTTGTTGTTTTTGAGTGCTGGAAGCATTCTACTTACGGCCCAGCGTACTGATATCGTATCGATATTAAAGCTTCTCTGGAGGAAGACTTCCACGACGTCCCAGATAATGCCATAGCTGCTGTTGTGAATACCCGTGACTCCCCTACCGAAACGCTTCTCTAAATATTTGCAGTTTGCGTCCAACCATCTTCGGTCTACGAGCACACCATTAATGAAAAACCATTTCTCGTCTGGGTGTGCTTCTTCTAGTTCGTCAGAAGGTAGGCGAATAAATTCTTCGTCCAAAGCTTTCAACATCAGGAGAGGGTAAAATACGAAAACAGGCAGCGTGAAGAAGAATGCCACAATCTGATATATTATACTAAACCAGTTTGAAAGAGATAAAAGATCAACTTCGCTCGTCGGTTTATCCGGATCCACGGGTTCAAAGTTTATGGCCCCGATGCTGTTGCGAAGGAAGAACTCGACTACAAACTCTCGCAAATGGCCAAGGATCCATTTAAGATCCTTGCTGAGAAGTACCCAAGGATTTTCCATATGTTGCTTGGTTTCTGTCCTTTGACGTAAAAGTTAAAATACTAATAATAGATGAATTGATACAAGAAGCGTACACTAAAAGCATGAATGTTTCGGGGAAGCGCATTTTTATATATACAGAGTGCAATACATTGCCCATTTTAGATAGATGAATAACAGTGGGGAACTTTCTATGATTTCCGCAGGAGGTAAATAAAAACATCGTTTGTTGCACAATATAGCAATATTGTGTCCATTAACTAAAAATAAATATAATCTCTATTTAGCGTGTAAAAAGTGCCGGCCAGATATATTTCGTAAATACTTTTACATTTCCGCGAATAGCACGTGTCCTTCTCGTTTTCGTCTTCTTTTTGATAAGAGTTGTTCTATGTGATAAGGTGGGCATTTAGTGCCAGGTAATAAACTGCGTAAAATAAAATGTGATGATTTGTTTGTGACATTAGAACACCAAGCAAATCGTACACATGATAATAATATACAGTCAGGAGTTTTACCCAATTTGGGAGATGCAGATCGCACCATTTATGATAAGAAATTAATTCTAGAATTTTCTGGCAGAAAAGTCTGAACGTCACGTGTTAAAGTATAATATTCTTTATTGGTCAATATAATAAATTCTATCTCTTTGTTTTGCCATTCTCCCCGAAACACGATATTCATTGCAGAATTACAATAATCTCGGTTCGAATAAGGAAAACGCAATTCGAAACAGGACGTGTATAAGGCTTATGTGTTTCATTTTCAGTATACCATATTACATACATGCTGCGATTTCCCTAATGCCATTGTAAAGGTATGGAAAGAGAGCATTTATTAATCGCTTCCAGTATTTTGACGTTGATTGGAAAGTTTAGGACATGAAGTCATAATTCTTTCTTGAACCAACTTTTCGATTTCAGACCTTAATCGTAATCTTTGCTCTTCATCGGCGAGTTCGATTACTCGGTAAATAGGATGTCGTCGGGCAGAGCAAATTGGTGCAAATATTCTTCTATCGCAAGTCTTAGTGAAACAAACTCGTTATATCATTATACACATCACGTCGTTCCATTTTAGCAATCTCCGTTACCAATTTCGCACGATCTTGTTCGGAGTAAGCCATACATCCAACATAAACAGTTTCATTTTCTGATGATTATGAAATCGGAAAACCCTTTTTCGCTGCAGTCGTCGTTATTGTCAGTAAGCCTTCTCTTTTTCTCTCCACTT